CTTATCCAGAAAAAATATAATAGATTTCAGATTATATTTTTAAATTCCAACACTGCCCATCTCTGTCTATAATAGCTCTTAATTGCACACGATCACACATTTTTACCAAAATATGTATATATCTGGTTGACCTGCTCCTTTTTTCTCATTTCTCATTTTCACAATTTAAATGCATTAAAAATGAAAAAAACTCCCCATCATTTATAATATTGCACTTTGATTCATGCTAATTTTATAAATAATGTGTTCCTTTGCTTTACTCTTTTTGAAGTGTGAAAAAAAAGCATCTCCACAAATTATTGTTTGTACTTTTTGCTGCAAAAGTGTTTCTTTGATGCTTTTTGTTCTTGCATGAGGGGAGAGAAAATCTAAAGTGTAAAAATTGTTTAAGATGAAATTATGTACGTTTAAATGAAATGCAAGCTTAGAGCAGAAAATTGTAAAAGGTTTGATATTTGTGCAATTTTACTTCTCTGATTTTGAAGATTTTAGATGTTTGTCACTAGTAAATATGCTTTTAACTATGTATATTGAGTTCCTTTAAATGTCCCAACATTCTAATCAGTCTAATTTGTAAGTGGGAAGTTACTGAGCTCTTTTTGTCACAATATCTATATAAATATCCAGTAAGCAGGAGTTCACTGGGTAAAAACAGCTTGAGCTAGAGGTCAGAGAAGAATTGCCAAACTGCTTCATGATGATAGGAAGGTCATAGTCCCAAGTGAGAGTGTGTCAGGAAGCGTGTCCTGTGTGATATCTTAAGTAAGTCAAACATGTAGATCATCGAGAAGAACATTTCAATAACAGATTAGTCAGATCTGTGAACAACACCAACAACCTCTGATGCTGTTGAAAGGCATGTTCAGAGGCATCAAGAAAGACGGAAAGGCAAGGATGTAAGGAGAGGTAGAGACCAGGTGAAAGGGGAGCAAAGCCAGGCGCTACTAATGCTCTAGTCCGCTGTCGCTAGGAAGAGAAATAGAGCAGGTGTCATCTTGAAGGATGGTGAAGAAAACAGAGGTGAAGAGGAGGTGTTGGTAGGTATGATGTTAAGGAGAACAACGCTGAAGAACAGAAGGTAGTGGATCTTGTGAAAAAGATGGAAATGGCCGTGATGAACACTGATGGGGTTTGCAGAATGTACTCCACCATACAAAATGCACTGAATCCTGGCAATGGTACTTCTTGACAATGGGCTGTTAGAAAAATGCTACATTTTCATTAGAATTTCTTGCTTTGTACAAACTAAATATAAAAGTGAAAAACAAGAACATTTTTGCCATCCGCTGGGAAACTATTCAGGTTTTTAATATATAATTTGGTTACTAGATTGTTACTAAATTTGTTAGTAGATAATTGATGAGATACTAGATAATTAACAGATAGTCAAACACCTTCTCCATATACAGATTAGTATTACAGAAAAAATATAACATTTTAAAATATAAACAATATACTATTAATATATTTATATTAACAATATATATTAGCAGTAGATGTGCAGGGAATGGGAGGGAAGGTGCACGAAAAGCAAAAACATGTCATCGTTTCTGTCACTCACAAACAGCTGAAATATAAATTTAAAAAAAAGAAATATCTGCAGGGTGAAAGGTATCGGATTTACAGAAATGTTACCAAGAGACAATGGGAAGGAAAGAAAATGCCTTAAGCCTAGGATAGAACAAGTTTGGAAAGTTGGAAAAGTGTCCCGTTTCTGTGGCCCTTTTGGATACATTGAAGGTCAGTTTGGAATTGATGGATGAAAGTGTGTTTGTTTTTTGAAAAGTGAAAATATGTGATGGTAAATCTATCTGGAAGATTGGCTATATGTTTTAATAGCATTCTTCTCATCTGATAGAAATCAAAATCATCCAAATGTGTGATTTATTCCTCATGACATAGACATAGACAGGGGCGGAGCGTGGGGGTGGCTTACTGGGCTTAAGCCCGGGTTGTTTTGTCAGAAGCCCGGGGTCTTTTGGAGTGTAATTTTTTCATAGTTAGATGCCTGGCTGACAACTGTATAAAACAAAAAGTACACACAATATTCGAAGCACGTAGTGCACACTGTGGGAATTTACGACTGTGCGTGAATCCCCCCTGATATTGGTATGATCCGAGCTCAGACACTAAGCGACTGAGCGAGGGGGCGGGGCAGCTGCTGCCTCGGAGTGCGCTGTTGGAGAAACGGAGCCAGCCATACTAAGGAGAGCTTAAGTTTGACCAGGTACCAAAGCAAATCATTC